CCGTGCCCTCGACCGTGCTTTGGCCACTGATGCCCTTTTAAGCAGATTTTCAGCCAAAGAGAAGGGGATTCGAGTTTTGAGAGAGATAGAGCGATTCCTAGAGAGAGAAAGTGACGAACAAGAGTCTCCAAGTGCCCTAGCTTGATCTTCATCACCATTGGAGGCCAGTTTGAGCTTGGAGAAGTGCCGATCAACGTCCAGGAGCAGGAATCCATCCTTCACAATATGAATTCCGCGTCTGATTCTGCTTTTGCTTCTTTCTCCATGGAGTAGTTCTCTCATTCATCTGGGTATGGAGAACCCTAGATTTGTATGTTAGGCTTTGATTGTATGAACCCAATTACTGATTCTATGATTTGATTATATTCGATTGAGGTTTGAATGATTGAATGACTTGAATCCTGATCAAATTCCTGTTGTTTCTGCTTTAACCTAGAACGAGAATATCTGCCTAGGTTGATAGAGCATCCTTGATTGAAGGTAGGGAGTTGGTGACTTTAGTCGAGAAGCCAACTCACTATTCTGTACCGGATTCACTCCGGTAGTGGAGGTTTTGTTTGTTAAGGCCTCAATCTGTTTACTCCGGTGGAGGTTAGTCGCCCGCTAGAGACTCAGATTGAGAGGGTCTGAAGACCTTTAGTCGAGACTTCAGGCTGTTTAAGAACCTTCCGCAGTATAACTATCATAGAAACTGAACTTGGTAATTGCAATCCGGCTTAACTGCAGTCTAGGGGGAACCATATCCGGGTGACCTCTCTTAACCTGAATACAACCGTTTACTTGCTTTGTTAGTTTGTTAGTCAAGATTTGCATTAAAGTTTCATTGCTAGATAACAAGAGTTCACTGAGTAGTCATCAAATCTAGGACCCGGGTTGATAATTAAACCTAAACCCGCTATACTACGCTTTAGGAAGTGGTTTCACTTGGCCAATTCCTGGAGTGACAGTAGAAGTGAGTCAAGTTTTTGGCGCCGTTGCCGGGGAACGGCTAGGTTGTTGAAGAAAAGTGATTTCTGTTAATTTAGCTTTTCTTTTTGCTTTGTTTGCTTTGTCCCACTTGTGCCTTCACGGGTTTGCTTGCTTGAGTGTGTGCAGGTAGTGCATGACCCGTAGCCAGTCGGGAGGTTTACTGCCGTTGAATCCAGAGATTGATCGCACCTGTCGCCATCTCAGGAGACAACAGCGAGCTAGACTGGCTACGGAAGAGCGCATAGACGGCCACCTGAGTAGCGATTCTGAAGAAGAGTACGGGATGGACGGAGACTACAATCAGCACCAGGGGAATCCTCAGCAGGTTCCCCCGGTGAATCAGGTCTTGGGGAACAACCCCATACCCCAGGATCATGGGGTTCATCATCATCACCCGCCGCCGGGTCCCACCTTGGAGTACTACTACACTCCACGGATTGCTGATATCCGCCCGGTCATCCTCTACCCGCCTATTCCAGCAAACAACTTCGAGATCAAGCCATGCTGGATTCAGCTCATTACATCCTCTATCCAGTTCCATGGATTGAAGGATGAGGAGGCCAGGGTGCATCTTTCCCGTTTTCTGCAGCTGACGAACGGGTTCAAGCTGAATGGTGTCCCGGATGATGCAATCCGCCTTCATCTCTTCCCCTATTCTCTGGCGGGAATGCTAAGAGGTGGTTGGAGACCCAGCCCCCATTGTCCATCACCTCTTGGGACGATCTGGCTGACAAGTTCGTGCACAGGTACTATCCGGCATCGAAGACTACAGAGATCCAGCGGGAGATCACTCACTTCCGCCAAGATCCAGATGAGTCACTTCGTGATGCATGGGAGCGGTACATGGGATATTTCTGGCAGTGTCCCCATCATGGCTTTAGTGATGCATTCACAGTGGGGAACTTCTACAGTGCTCTCTCTCCAGACAGCCAGAGGGTGATTGAGTCTCTATGCCCAGGAGGGGATATTCTTACTAAGACTCCACCCGAGCTGAACCAGATGATCAGTACTTTGGCTGCCAGAGATCATTCTTGGGGACAGGGTAGTCGAGGCAGACAGTCCCGGGACCGTGGTGTGCACGCCATGGAGACCAGATCCGGGCTCGAGCAGCAGGTAGCTGAGCTAGTGCAGACATTGAAGCAGCCCAACAGTCTTATTCCGGGCAGAGGTTTGGCTACACCTCCAGTAGCTCAATGTCAGTGGTGCGAGAGCTCCAATCACCTAGTGGAGGACTGCCAGGCTATGAGGGAGTCTACCACTCCCCAAGAGCAGTTGGACTTCATCGCCAATGCTCGGTGCCTCGACCCGTACAGCACCACATATAATGAGGGGTGGCGCCAGCATCCCAACTTCGCCTTGAGCAGCAACACCACTAAACCACCTGGTTTCCCAGCACCAGCAGGTGGTTTTCAGCAGAGGCAGCCCTTCCAGGCTCGATAGGGGCCAGCCCCACAGCAGCAGCCCTACCAGCCTAGGCAGGGGCAACCATTCCACCAGCCCCAGCGTCAGTTTGTCGAGCCAGCAGCAGCCCATGCCCCAGATGACCAGATGACAAAGCTAGAAAATATTCTAGCTTCATTCATGACTAGCACTCAGGCTGCTATCACGTCACTGGAGGCAGGTCAGCGGAACCAGGGTGCCATTTTGCAAGATCTGCAGACCCATGTGGGCATCTTGGCCCCCCAAAACACTACCAGGTCACCGGGGACTCTGCGTGCCACCACTATCCCGAATCCTCGGGATCCTCACCAGCTCCCGCAGCTGGATGCCATTTTTACCAGGAGCGGTAAGACCATATCTGCTGATCCTGTCCCGGCCAGACAGGAGGAACCACTACCTGCTTCAGCACTTCCAGCTGACGATGAAGAAGTGCGGGTGGAGAAGGAAGCCCCTGCTCCCAAGCCACAACCAGTGGTTAAGGAGCATGTACCCCAGCTTCCCTTCCCCACTCGCCTACACAAAGACAAGTTGGAGACTGAGTTTGCCAAGTTTATGGCAATGTTGAAGCAGCTCAACATCAGCATACCGTTCGTGGAGGCACTGTCGAAGATGCCCAAGTATGCCAAGTTCATGAAAGATCTCCTCACCAACAAGAAAAAACTTGGGGATCTTTCGACAGTGATGCTCAGTGAGGAGTGTTCTGCTATCCTGCAGAACAAGCTGCCCGAGAAGCGAATAGACCCAGGGAGTTTTACTATCCCTCTTACTATTGGCAGCATGCATGTAGGCAAGTCCTTGGCGGACCTAGGCGCTAGCATAAATGTCATGCCATATAAGTTGTATAAAAAGCTAGACCTAGGTGAACTTAGCCCTACTAGGATGAGCATTCAGCTAGTTGATCGTTCCATTGTGCATCCTAGGGGGATCATAGAGGATCTGCTTGTCAATGTCGGTGCATTCACATATCCTGTTGATTTTGTTATTTTTGATATACATGAGGATGTGGATGTTCCTTTGATTCTGGGTAGACCATTTCTTGCCACCGCCAAGGCACTTATTGATGTGCATGATGGTAAACTGATCTTGCGTGCTGGGAATGAACAGGCTACTTTTTCTGTGACTGAATTCGATCACTGTGCTATGATTGCTGTTACACCTGTGCATGCCATTTCTGATCAGGTACACGAGCCTGTCGTGTATCCTTCTGCACCTCCCGTTTTGCAGGACCCTCCTATCATTCCTTCGCCGCCACTCCATCCAGCCTCGCCTCCGAACAAAAAGCTCAAGGAGAAGTGGCGGCCGAAGCAGCAAGTTGCTAAGCCTGCACGGAAGAAGGGTGGAGGCCACTATGAGCTGGTCCCACCTGCTGCACCACGACCACCCTGGCCGTCCGGGTACTCACTCGCTTTCATCTTACCGGATGGCCAGGTCGAGCTGACCGATGATGGTGGTCGCATTCGTCGGGTGCATGGCCACAACCTGAAGCTGTACCTCAAGGGCGACGTGGATCCGCTCTTGGAGGCACCTGTTCCTGCACCTCCCTGAGTATCCACCATGGGTGTCTAGCTAAAAGACAGTAAAGAAGCGCTTGTGGGGAGGCAACCCCACCGCGGTTTGACTTTCTTTCTTGTGTTTTGAGTCGGATTGTAAACCGGTTTGGTTTTGGTTTGTTTTCTTTTGTTTTGGATGATGTATTATTGGGCTGACCATTGGACCTAACATATTGTGTTGAGCTCTTCGGTTTCCTTTGGCTGTGCTTGTCTTGACTGGTCCTCTCTCCAGTCTGCTTCACTCCGACTGGTTCGCTTCCAGTCTCCTACAGTCCGTGCATACCGGTAACATCGTTCCCCTTTTCCTTCCCTCTTCTCCATTGAGGTCAATGTCGATCTTAAGTGTGGGGGGATGTTTATCGATTGACTGCATTAGATCTGTTTGTGTGCTTGGAGCCTAGTCCACTGTCCAAATTTTTAAATTTGAGGGCTCCAAGTACGTGTTTCTGTGCAATTGCCTGCTCAGTATGCTTTGAATTGATAGTATTTATAGTAATATGCAACCTAGGGAGGTAGTGTAGCACTATGGAGGATGTTGATGCATTTAAGAAGTCTCATTTCTTCTTCATATTGTGTTGGTTGATTGAGTGAATTAGTGATCTTAGGACCCTTGAATTGTGTGGTGTTGTGGACTCTCTACCTGTCATGGACTCTTGTTTCTTGTTTTGAGTTTAACAGGTGCTCGAAAATGTGCTTCAAAATAACGTCTCCCTTGCGAATAGGGCGAAAGTGTGTAAGGGGAGACGGGAATCCGTTCCCAATTTCCACCTACTACCTCCAGCCCCCTTACATGTCTTTCCCCCGCATGAGGCTCGAGACACCCGCTCTTGGCATGGCCGGTAAGAGCCGGGCTCCCGCAAAACCTCTGCTAGGTGGGAGCCCCATTTTCTGAAAAGCAGGTTGGGACCCTTGAAAAAAAAATAATAACAGAAAACAAGCAAAATAGAAAGAAAAGGGGTTCCAACCATCTTCAAGAAGAAAATAGAGCACCTTGAAAAATGTGAGTCCATGATCCTTTGTTTTTGAGAATCTCTTACCCCACGATTCATTTGTCCTCTATTCACTATTTGCCATGATGCCGACTCGAGACTAGCGTTCTCGCCGAAGAAGCTATGAGATGATTTGTGCGTCGGTTGACCTCGTAAGATGCTAAATGATCTAGGAAGTCCTCTACCTACGATATGGGTTGTTTGTTGCTATAGAGGTCTGGAGAGTTGCATCGGTTTGAGTTAGGTTTGCCTGGGGACAAGCAAACGGTTAAGTGTGGGGGAATTTGATAACGATGTAATTGCACATATTTGCGCCCCTAGTTCTTATCTGTTTGAGGGGCATAGTCGTGTATTTTTGGCCTATTTTACGCCGGGTTGTGCTATTTTGTCATGTTTCAGGTCCCAGGTGTCAAAGGAAAGGCTAAGCACGAGTTTCAGGGCATTCGGAAGTCATTTCGTCGAGGTGGAGCCAAAACACGGGCACACCTAAAACAGAACACGGCCGTGTTCTGTGGCCGTGCTTTTACTGCCGAGAGCTAATTCTAGTTTGGCAAACATGAGCTGATTACACGGGCTGAAAGCACGGTCGTGTCCATCAAAGCACGGCCGTGTCCTCTCAAAAGCACGGTCGTGTTTCTCCCAACAGGTGGCCGTGTAATTAACCCTAGCCAAAGCACGGGCGGGCTGAGGCATTACACGGCCGTGCCCTCGACCGTGCTTTGGCCACTGATGCCCTTTTAAGCAGATTTTCAGCCAAAGAGAAGGGGATTCGAGTTTTGAGAGAGATAGAGCGATTCCTAGAGAGAGAAAGTGACGAACAAGAGTCTCCAAGTGCCCTAGCTTGATCTTCATCACCATTGGAGGCCAGTTTGAGCTTGGAGAAGTGCCGATCAACGTCCAGGAGCAGGAATCCATCCTTCACAGTATGAATTCCGCGTCTGATTCTGCTTTTGCTTCTTTCTCCATGGAGTAGTTCTCCCATTCATCTGGGTATGGAGAACCCTAGATTTGTATGTTAGGCTTTGATTGTATGAACCCAAGTACTGATTCTATGATTTGATTATATTCGATTGAGGTTTGAATGATTGAATGACTTGAATCCTGATCAAATTCCTGTTGTTTCTGCTTTAACCTAGAACGAGAATATCTGCCTAGGTTGATAGAGCATCCTTGATTGAAGGTAGGGAGTTGGTGACTTTAGTCGAGAAGCCAACTCACTATTCTGTACCGGATTCACTCCGGTAGTGGAGGTTTTGTTTGTTAAGGCCTCAATCTGTTTACTCCGGTGGAGGTTAGTCGCCCGCTAGAGACTCAGATTGAGAGGGTCTGAAGACCTTTAGTCAAGACTTCAGGCTGTTTAAGAACCTTCCGCAGTATAACTATCATAGAAACTAAACTTGGTAATTGCAATCCGGCTTAACTGCAGTCTAGGGGGAACCATATCCGGGTGACCTCTCTTAACCTGAATACAACCGTTTACTTGCTTTGTTAGTTTGTTAGTCAAGATTTGCATTAAAGTTTCATTACTAGATAACAAGAGTTCACTAAGTAGTCATCAAATCTAGGACCCGGGTTGATAATTAAACCTAAACCCGCCATACTACGCTTTAGGAAGTGGTTTCACTTGGCCAATTCTTGGAGTGACAGTAGAAGTGAGTCAAGTTTTTGGCGCCGTTGCCGGGGAACGGCTAGGATTCCATTGTAGTAGACTATGATACCATAAAAGACAATCACAGATAACGAAAAGGAACAAATAGGCAAACCGATTTACATGGTATTCCTGGAACCAAGACTAATTCACATAAGAGTTGCGACTCTTCGAGCTCAAATCCACTATTCAGAACTGTCTCTCTTAGCCGCCATTGTTACAGCAAAGAACTATATAAACACCATCCTACATCCTAATCCTAGGAGAGAGGCGTGACTCATTTGGCCAATCCTCTCCATGCCTGCATGGGTCACAAATAAAGCCCAATCACCAACAAGTCTCAAGCCCAAAATAATATGTACAAGAAAATGAGAAATGAGATACAACTCATCTTATAGTAACACATACAAAAAGTTAGGAGTATAGTTGGAACGAAAATAAAAACAATAATTTCAACCAAACAAACTCATTAACAGTGTTGTTAAAACCGAGTCAGTCTGGTCGTTCGTACCGGTAAAACCAGGACCCAACCATCAGCCCGACTCGGATCAGTCAAAAAACCGCAATGGGTGAACTGGTCGGTTGGTGAACGGTTTGAACGATTAACCGCTCGAGTCGTTCAAATCGTCCCAACGGTTTTCACCATTCCACCAGCCGAATAAAAATGAATTTGGCCGCGTTGTCGCCCTGTGGTTAGGATTCTCGACTTAAAATTTGAAAACTCAAAATTGAAATAGAAAGAGGAGGATGGAGAGAGAGAGAGAGAGAGAGAGAGCGTGGAAGAGAGGGTTTGATAATTGGAAGAGAGAGATCGAGAGAAGGAAAGGGTCGTGAGATTGTGAGAGAGAGAAGTGAGAGTTTGAGTTAGAGAGGGAAGATTTGGGGACGTGAGGGAGAGGTAGAGGGGAAGGGTGGGAGAGAAATATATTTTTCTTCTGTGAAAAGTGGAAAGCGGCGGAGAAAGATGAAGGGGCGTGGTTGAGGTATTAGGGTTTCTTTCTAAATATATATATTAAAGGCAAGGGTTAATATATTTGTCTAGAACTTTTCACAAATTTAACATCCTGGCCAATCATTTAGGTAATTAACATCGTCTCCTAAACTAATCCTATACTTTACTCATTTGGCAAAACCCGAGAGTTGACCGTTAGTTCTAACGGTCAAGACCGTTGACTAACGGTCAACCGCCATGCCATCGGCAACTCAACGTCTTTTAACTTAAAATAGTAAGATTTTCCACATAATCTTATTTAACTTTTTATTTTAACAGAAATTTAAAAAAAACTAAAAGCGACCTATCGGGACCATTTCTATTCCCTACCATTTCACCCTAGCCACTTATTTTCAAACACCTTCCCCTCCGACGAACCCATTTCCTCCATCTGGCGATGAAGTCGCAGCAGCGGTCGGTCGAGTAAAGTCGTCGTCGCTGTCGATTCCGTCCCCTCCTCAAACTCTGATCCAGTTCTCTTTTACTCCCCGAACCCATTTGAAGATTTTGAGTTGTCGCTATCACCCCCAGTTCTTGCTTCTGTCGATTGAAAAAAATGGGTGAAAGCGACGACGACGGGGCCACACAAGTAAGGGACCACAACGCCAAGATCGTGTTGGCAGCACCAACGTAAGCAATACCTTTCTCTTCCCTCCTTTTATAATTTAATCCAGCATGTAGACAAAGATTAGGGTTTTGGTATTAAAGTAATGCTTTCGACATGGTTTTTAGCATTCACTTGGTGAAATTGGGATTAAATTACACTCATGATTTGTCTTTTTAGGGTTCAGTGAGTAAAGTAAGGATTAAAGTAATGGAATTGTGTTTGTCTTTGGTAGGATGGACCACAAGATTGATCTTATTTTCGATCATGGCATCGCTATGGATATGTCAACAAATGTACCACGATACATTGGGGGAACTGTTGACTTTGTGAAAGTTCATGATGATGTGTTGTCCTATTTCGAGTTGACAAAGACTTTGATTGAAGATTTGGAGTATCTCTCGGTTGAGAGAATTTGGTACTTGACCTCATGGCTACCGGGTTACACGAGATCTTATCGAATGTTGAGGCTGTAAATGGATTGCTTCCAGTGGCTGCCAATGGAGAGGTACGGGTTTACCTTAGGCAACCAAGGATCTTGGCGAGCTGGGCTTTATGGGAGACAATTATGGGCATGATCCTGAAGGCTCGAGTGATTCTGGACATAATTCAAGGGTACATGAATTTGTGCGCTTTGATGAAGATAAGGATGCTCAGACATCATACATCAGACGAGGAGTATCATACAATTAGAGCCGAGGTTGGAAGAAAGAGGCAAGCATTTAGAGCCGAGTTTGATGGTTCTAGAGATGAGGTAGACCAGTTATTTGAAAGTGATGAAGATAATGCTACTGTTAGAGTTGGCGAGGCTAGTAAGACTGTGGAGTTGGATGGCAATGAGGTTCAAAGGAATGTAGATGAAGAAGTGAATGTTGAAGGATCGATTGAGATAGAGTACAAGGGCTCGGAAGATTCTGCTCATGTTAGAGGGAACATAGCCGAAGATGAAGGTGCTGCAAGTGTTGACAAGAGCCTGTTTTATGATCCCAATTGCAATCATAAAACTCTGAAGTTTAGAGCACACATTCCTTTTCTATTAGGTTGTCCTACTTTGGCATTATGGTAGCTTGTTAGCAGGAATGATCCTCTTTTGTACATGCTAGGACGTGTTTTATATTGGATGGTGATATATGAAATTGTTAGGACATTGACTGCTAACTTTGTTAAAATCGTTCAAACATCCATAACCCATTACATAAGAAAATCTGAAATTACAAACACAATAATTCCTGCAAGAGTACACAAAAGCAGCAGAGTGTCAACCTCCAAGGGTGCACTTCAATGACAAACAGATAGTGCTACATAATAAATAATGAAAACACAAGCACAATCACGACTAAGAAGAGTACACCGAAGAAGCATTATGTCATCCTCATTTGAAGGGAACAAATCTATGCCTCATCTTTCGCAATTCGAGACAACTTGTTGCACTCAATTCTGAAACCTTGGTGAAGTCTTCTAACATAGCAACCTTCTCTTGTTTCATTTTCCTTGCATTCTCTTCTGCTCTAAGAAAGATGGAATTTTAGTTTTTTTTATTATTTTTTTAATTTCGGTTAGAATACAAAGTTAAATGGGATTATGTGAAAAATATGACTATTTTATGTTAAAAGACGGTGAGTTGGCGATGACGTGGCGGGTTGATCGTTAGTTAAAGGGCTTGACCGTTAGAACTAACGGTCAACTCTCGGGTTTGGCCAAATTAGTAAAGTATACGATTAGTTCAGGTCACGATGTTAATTACCTAAAGGATTGGCCAGGATGTTAAATTTGTGAAAAGTTTGGCCAGACAAATATATTAACCCTAAAGGAAAATTGCTTTACAGTACTCAATGTTAAAACATAAGTTAAATTAGTCATCAAACTTTCAATTTATCACATTATATGTTTATATTTTTCAAATTGTACTCAATAATCTTGTTTATTAGCTACCAGTTTGTTAATGGTCTAACACCAGGTAAACCAGTAAAGTGCGAACAGTTCACTATATTGGTTCATATAACGGTTCGGTTTTGACAACATTGCTCATTAATCTCATATAAAAGGTCAGATTTAACGATGTTCCTCATTTGAGTGGTAGTTTGTGTCACATCAAACAAACAATCTTATATTATATGTGCAGAAAATTCAAAAATATAATACATTGTGAACAATACTAAGTATGGTAACAATCTCAACCAAATTATTACCAAATACATTGTGAACAATACTAAGTATGATAACAATCTCAACCAAATTATTACCAAAATCATGTATTAATCCCCATATCATATGAAAATATGCAAATGTAAAAGAAGTAAAACGACGAGACCTTTAAAAACCAATAATAGATAATAAAAAAAGTACCAACTAATGAAAAAGCACCACTCATCAAACGCACAAACCTAGTAAGACAAAACTAATAGCAAAAAAAGAAGACTGAATCTTGGGAAATCCAATGTGGAAAATTCCACATACCAGATAAATGTGAAATAAGGGAGACATAATTTTTAGGGTTACATGGTTGGGTGGTAAGGGTTTAGGCATTTTAATCACCTGATCTATGCGTTACGGTTTGAGAAATATCAAACTTAAACTCGTCCAAAAAAAATTGAACCCTACGGTTTGTTTCTAATTGGGTTGGGTCGGATTGGCGATATTTTTAAGTAAAAACCCAACCCAACACAAAATATGTAATTATTCTACACCATAAAAATATTTTATAACTAATTAAAAATTCAAACGAATAAACTGAGGTGAATGGTATCAAAATTCAAAAAAATTGTTTGAATTTTAATAAAATTTAATTTACTTCAACTAATGTCTATTTTTTCACGATATTTGTTGAAATAGATTAAAATGGTTACAAATGAACGCATCCATAATATGTTATACTATTAAATTTGTACACAAGAAAAAGAATTACGTGAATCATAGCTATATTAAATTATATCTAAATTTTACGCTGAAGAATGCATTATATTAGGGAGACCATAAGAGAAAAACATGGCGAAATATCTTAATTTTTTCATAAGTATGGCTATATACGATATAAATATTTTTTTGGATACGAACTCATACTAATAATTGGAACACGGGTTGGGTCGGGTTCTACGGGTTGTGTAATCCAAAATCCAAACCCAACCCATAAGAGGCGGGTTGTACAAAAGAAAATCCTCACCCAACCCAAAACCTTCGTTTTAGAGATAAATACGGGTGGGTTGGGTTGGGTGGGTCGATTTGCGGGTGTGTTTGTTCACCCCTAATAATCGTGATCCATTCAACCTATTGAAAGTGGGTTCGGTACTATTGAAAAACAAAATAGGACATCAAGTATCATTGAACTCGATTTTGTAGAGATCCATAAAAAATTTCGACCAGTTCTGTCCTACATTCTAACAAAAATAATTAAAAAATATTATTTTCCTCATAAAAACTAATAAAAATTATATTAAAATAAAGAAAAATTTTAAAAAATGAAACTTATTGTTTCTCCCCAGCCACCATCAATTTCTTCTTCCTCCACTACACTGCCAGCAGTACCTCTCCATCACATTCTATCTCCATCTCCCGTAAATGGCGCCAACATATGCATGTCCATCATCTTCTTCCCTACTTTATTATCCCCTTCCTCCCGCCGCCGCCAACAATCAAAACCAGCAAATGGTGCCCACACCTGCAGGCATGTTGCCATCTCCAGCAATTCTTACCCTCAATATACTTCTTGCTTCTACGTCAATATCACTCTTGATATAATCACCAATCGGCCCCACGCCCTTGCCAATTCTTATATGTTGGTCTATGTTCCTTATTTGCATAACTGGATTTACCTTAGCTCTAATAGCAAGATCTGGTTCATGATAACTAGATGGTTCAAATTAAATCTCAACATAAAAATACCATATATCTATCTCCCTTTCAGATTTCTCTGACGACGGGTGACAGAGGTAGGAGGTGATGGAGAGGGTTGGGGATGGCATAACAAATGAGGAAGAAATCAACGATAATTGGGATGAAACAAGAATATTTATTTTTATTTTATTTTCCACCTATTTTAATCTAATTTTTAATAGCTTAAAATAAAATATTTTAGGACTTTGCTACGGTGACTTGCAAGTCACTGTTACTTGCACTTTTCGGTCGACCTATTACAAACGGTGGTCGACCTAATCTGTACTTTCGGTTTTGTGAGCTCAATGACGCGGTTGACCGTTTACAGCAAATGGTCGACCTCTTTAACAAGCGAACAATATAAAAGGTCGACCCCATTATCTCAAAGGTCGACCATTTTGCTATCAAAAGATTTACCTTTGTTTCATTCCCTGAGCAACATCAAAGTTGGAAATATTTAGGAAAATAGTAGAAACGGTCGACCTGACATGTACGTGGTATCCATATTGGATAAGGA